CAGGCAAAACACCAATGCACATAATTTTTTTTAAGTCATTTTTTAAAAAGGCAAAATGTATAAGCATCTATCAGGGGCTACATATACCAGCTCAGTAGTACAGTACCTGCTTAGCTTGCATTAAAGCCCTAAGTTCAATCCACAAATATCAAATAAAAGCACTTTATTTATGTATCATTGTAACTAGCAGATGGTACACGCAACTTTATAACTGCAGTCCTATGAAATAGCATGATGGATAACCTATTTTTCTGCTTGTTTTTTAAAAATTTATTCTATGATCTATACCAACAAAAGCATGCCCTATGATGTCTTCCCTTCTTCTGTGCTATGCTTCTGTGTTGATTTGGGTCCACATACATAAATCCAATCTGCACCACACTCATATACAGACCACAAATTTGGCAGAAATAATACAAGCAATCAAACTAGCAAGCACCACTGTCGAAATGCCTCTCATCCTACCATGCACATAATTATTTTTGAGGCAGTTAGTAGCTGCTGGCTTCTTCAGGTAAATGTGGCTTTCATTTATTAAAACCTCCTGGAATTTCATCAACTGAAAGGAAAGCAAATGCTAATGAATGATGTATTTTTTACGTGAAGTTTCCATCATCACTGTACTGCATGGCCAATCCTTTCTAAAGAGCTCAGCTTTGTACTTCTCATGAGGCAGCCTTTCCAAAGACCAGAATTACAGTTTGGGCGACTTGGGATTTCAAGATTTCAACTTTTGAGATTACGGCATTCTGGATCAGCTCCTTCAACAGTATGACCCATCTGGCTCCCAAACAATCCTAGTACTCACTCAGGGGGCCTTGTGGTGTACTATGCCTCTTCTATTTCTAGGTATCTGTGGGGAAAAAAACTTCCTTTATTTTTTTAAAGATTTATTTATTTATTATGTATACAGAAGAGATCTCATTACAGATGGTTGTGAGCCACCATGTGGTTGCTGGGAATTGAACTCAGGACCGCTGGAAGAGCAGTCAGTGCTCTTAAACTCTGAGCCATCTCTCCAGCCCAGGAAAAAACTTCCTTAACGAGAGTCATTTCCCTGTCTGTCTTAACCATGTTCAATTAAGACAAATAGTATTTTTAAAGCATTTCCTTTTTTAAAATCAGCAAATATTTACATACATTTGTATCACTTACTCTCCATAAAGAGCTTGTGATATAATTCTCTTACTATACAATCCATCCATTCACAGTATAATGTTCAGTGGAGACTCAGGGTTATCCAACCATCATTATAATCAATTGTATAACTTCTTCATTGCTCCCAAAAGAAAACCTCTACTTGTCAGAAATCAGTTCCCATTTCCCCATTCACTTGCCCTAAATATGGCAGCCCTCATTTATCTTCCTTTTTCTGCAGATTTGCCTATTCTGGACATAACCCAAACAGAACCATACAATATGTAATCTTTTGTAACCAGTTTCTTTGACTTAAACTTTTAGGGTTATCCATATAGAGCATATGTTAAATCATAAGCTACACCTCTAGCCCAACATTTGGCTTTTAAGGATAGAAAAGTCCAAAGTCCTCTGCCTTTTATTGGTCCCAGTTCTAATAGTCTGGACAGCTCTACATGATCAGAAAGCCACAAAAGATGAAGTCACACTCCAGAGTCTCTAAGAGTCCCCAGAGTCCCCAGAGAAGAAGACACAAAAGCTGTTCCTAGTACATACAGGGTTTAGAAAAAAGAATAAAGAAAGAAAAAATTGGGGGGGGGGGGGGTCAACCCTCATCTACAATGTATTCACTGAAAAAAAATCTTAAATACTTTTCTTTCGAAGCTTTAACCATGGACATCATCAACACTACCTCTCCTACTTTTCAAACTTTGATAATGAGGTCAGGAAGAGTGAATACATCAATTCTCTGGGAAGAGAAAGTACCTTATGGCAAATGCCAAGAGGGATTTCTATTAATCAAGCTAACTTTGAATGTAGCTGCCCACTTCCTATCTGACCTTCCCTCCTTAAGAGAACTGAGCTAGATGACACTGCTTTCACAGGGCCGACGTCATGTTAAATGACAGCACCGTACCTAACCAACACCAAGTGGCCAAAGACAGCTTCACAGAATTATCACAAGAAAATTACTATTGACTATGCAGCTTTGGCCAAACCATGTTAGTGTGTGCATGATAGGGAGACAACTGTAAAAGATTAGGCAAATTAATAACAATAGTTACCTCGGAGGACAAGTTTGGGGGAAGAGAGTGATCACTACCTTTTTTCTTTGTACATCTCTAGGTTGTTTGGCTTTGGTTTTAATGGAAAAATCCACTGTTCTACTTCTGCTGAAAATGGTGGGGAGACGAGTGATGAAGGGCACTCACGGACACTGATAATACTCTGCATTTTAGTGGAAATACACACGTGGGTGTCCACTTACTCTACTACTCACACAAGGAGTTATTGAGATTCTCCTGTAAGAAACAGACAGTAAACATTTCAGTTTGCAGGACATTTAATCTGCTGCAATCACTCAGCTCTGCTAAACAAAAAACTCACACAGTCAATATAGAAAACAAGTAAGCGTGGCTATGTTCCAGTAAGATATAACAGATAGCAGGCTCGTGGGCCACAGTCCGAATACCCCTGCAGTATATATGCCAGGCATACTCTTTATGTGTGATGAAAAAAAAAAAAATCCACAATGTTTAAAAGATCAAGAACACACATACAAAAATGGTATCAAATCTATTCCCTAGAGCTGGAAGTGTTGGCACACACCTGTAATCCCAGCTACTCTGAAGGCCAAGGCAGGAGAGTATCATGTTCTAGGCCAGTCAGGAAACAGTAAGATTCCATTAAAAAAAAAAAAAAAAAAAAAAGCCTGTTTCTTTGAAAATAAAAATGCATGTGGTGCAGGCAAAACACCCATACACATAGAATCATTTTTTAAAAATTAAAAAAAAAATTCACAAAACTCAGGCCAGACTTAAATCTACAATCCAAACTCAGACCTTAAAGGTGGAATTTTCTTTCAAAAACTTACTTCATGTAACAAAAAAAAAAAAATCCTACTCAGTCCTCTTCTCTGCCCTCATCCAGCATGTACTAAAATATTCACATCATACTTTGTGTTCCTGCCTATCAAGAAGATGGAAAAATACAGTCATCAGCCCTCTGATTCCTTTTTAAGCTCCTGCCCCACCCTATATCCATTCTTCAACATTCTAACTCCCTCCTCCCTAAAATAATGAATTTAAGGTAGAAGAGACGAGGAAGAATGGAAATTTACAAGAAAGAGAATATAACTGATAATTGTTACCTAGAAAACATTTTCCCTTTCTGCTCTTAATAGGCTGTAAAGCTGAAGCAATTAAATTATAACTATAGCAACTCAGCGGGTATCCGGGGCTTTCACTCCTGCAACATCTCTGCACAAGCAGAGGCTGCCTGCTTCAATCAGGGGAACTGTAAGCAGCCAGGAGCAGAAGTTTGGAGCCTACAAGCAAGGCAAGTTAGTAGAAATATCTACAGACTGGCTGGGCATTTTCTACAAGGCTAGGTAGTCTAAAAAAACAAACAAACAAACAAACAAACAGGAAACCTGCTAGGGTTCATCTGACTTATCTTTATTAATGTCAAACTAAATCAAAACTAGTATTTAAGAAAATAAGACTCTAGAGAAGACTACAGAACATCCACAGCATACTACTGACTTCATAGAGCACCCAGCCGCTCAGTTCTCCAGATAGCTAGAAAAGGAATGCAGTCTGCACACTACTTTGACATTTACTAAGTACCTAAAAGACAATGCCTCGCATTAACACCCGTCTTCTTCTTTTTTTTTTTTTTTTTTTTTTGGGTTTTTCGAGACAGGGTTTCTCTGTGTAGCTTTGCGCCTTTCCTGGAACTCACTTGGTAGCCCAGGCTGGCCTCGAACTCACAGAGATCCGCCTGGCTCTGCCTCCCGAGTGCTGGGATTAAAGGCGTGCGCCACCACCGCCCGGCTAACACCCGTCTTCTTAATTTCACAGAATGAAGAAACAGACGGACATTTTCCTGAATTATACATAATCCTATGACTTTCTGGACCTCCCCCCACCATCCGAAAAGCTCAGAAGAAGCACCCTTTTCACCCTTCTCTCTCCAAGACCCTTCCAGAAAGACAGGAGTGCTGGAGTCAGTCTCGCTGGGTTTGAATCTTGGCTCACCACTCGTCGGCTGTATAACCTGAGGAAGTTACCAGCCCTCTCTCTGAACCTTTGCTGTCCAACTATAATGTAGGGATCACAGTTTTGATGCTGGCTGTGAGCATTAAGCAAAGACTTAACATGTAAGAAGTTTCTGATACACAGTAAATAGCCATTAAATCACATTTCCCAAAAAAGCATTTGGTTTTGAATTTTTGTTGGGTTTTTATTTTGCCCAAACAGGATCCTCTGCGCACTCCATCATCTTGCTAATGCTGTATGACCCCGTTAGTCAGCATTTTTCCTCAAAGTCTTGTCCCCTGGGACTCACCCACCTTCCCACTGTACAATCAGCTGGAGGGCACTGTACTTCAAAGCCTTTCAGAGGTGGCAGCCTCTGGGGTCATTGGCAATGAGCAGACAGAATCACTCCTCACTTGGATGGCTTCTCCTCACTGACCACTTCCCAATTTTTCCCAATTAGCCTTAAAACTGTTCATGGCTGAGTGCTTTCTGGCTTTGGGTAGCACTTACGTGCACGGTCCATATCTACTAACACACTGGCAGGGGCCATTTATGACTCAATAGCCATGAATCCAAGCAGGAATTACTGAGAGCATTTTATACACAACAGAGCTCCTCCACCCACTTCCACCCTCACACCTCTGCAGATAATACGGGCTCTCTCTCAGCTTGGTGGCTAGAATTCTAAAACCCTAGAGAAGCAAGGAAACAAAGCAGCCTTGCTGACCTGTTATAAAACTACCTGGCTTGTGACTGTCATAGAAGAAATTGATCCTGCCCCCAAACTACCCAGTCTACCAGCACCTCCCCACCAGTACTCACGCCTTGACATCTGCTGTCTCCTGGGATGTACGGGTGAGGGTACGGGAACGCAGGCGCTCACCCGCTTGCTGGATCTCCTGTAAATTCCGTTCCACATGTGGAAGCTCGGAGATACCTTCGGTCTCAGCAGCAAGCTGTTCAGCCTGCTGAAGGAGCTCACCAAACCCTTCAGTATCCATTGGAGATGCAGGTGCTACATGAAAGGAAAAAGACCTACGTCAAGGGGAAGAGACGTTTCCATTGCTGCTTCAATCTGTTACAAGATGAATAAACCTCCAGGACTTTTTGTAAACTGAAAGGGACATAGTTCATCAACAAGCAGGATGTGTTCCTGAATAGAGCCCAAGAACAGGCCTGACAGAGAAAATGAGTCAGACTTCGAACAGCTCATTTCTGAGCATATGGATTTCACCAGCAGAACAAATGCAAGCATATTAAGCCACAGGCCAGAATTCCTGCCTCCTCCTGCAGACCCAAAGCAGGTAAGAAAATGAAAGCCATTGCAGCAAGCTCCAGGAAGCCTAAAGAACAGCCCCCTATACCTCCAATGCCTCCATTTACCTTGAGGGAAGAGTGCCCCACTAAGAAGGGATTGCTACAGCCTAAGGCCTTATGTCACAGGATTTTCATGGTAACTCCAGGCCATGGAAACTCAGTTATATGCACAGCACAAGTCCTGCCATGATTTGGCTGAACTGAGACCAGAGAAATGCTAAGCATCTTCTAACTAAATTCAGCCTCACTTTATTCTAACACAACCATGTCTTCATTAACATAAAAGATGCTCTTTTATCATTCATGCCCTGGTCTCTATTTACACAATCTTACAAGGTGACTGACGGCCTCACTACATATGACATCTTACTTGCTACTGCAACTACTAACAATAACTGTATTTATATTAATGACTTTTAACTTTTAGAGTATGAACATAATTAACAAGGCCACCTGTTTCTCTAGCAACTGATTGAAAGTGCTGTGAAGAATGATGCTATGTGGTTTGAGAAGATGGCTGAACGGGTATTTGCTATTGTGATCAACTTTCAATTCCTGAGGCCCACATGGTAGAAAGAGAGAACTGACTCCAAAAACAACTCCTGCAGTTTTCATCTGCCCTCCACACATACATACAAACACACCTACACATACTGTTTAAATAAATGTTAAAAAAAAAAAAAAAAAAAAAAAAAAAAAAAGGCCAGCAGCTGGAGAGACAGATGGCTCAGTGGTTAAGAGTACTGGCTGCTCAGGACCCACATGTCAGCTCAAAACCAACTATAACTCCAGTCCAGGGGATCTGACACCCTCTTCTGGCCTGAGGACATTGCATGCATGTGGTACACAGACATACATGCAGGCAAAACACACATACACATAAAATAAAACTCTTTTTTTTTTAAGATTTATTTATTTATTATGTACACAGTGTTCTGCCTGCATGTATCCCCGCAGGTCAGAAGAAGGCGTTAGATCTCATCACAGATGGTTGTGAGCCTCCATGTGGTTGCTGACAGTTGAACTCAGGACCTTTGGAAGAGTAAGCAGTGCTCTTAACCTCTGAGCCATCTCTCCAGCCCCTAAAATAAAAATCTTTTAATCTTTTAAGAAAGTGCTGCTATTTGTTAGGCATGGTGCCCACCTTTAATCCCAGCACTCAAGAGGCAGAAGCAGGTAGATCTCTGTGAGTTCAAGGCCAGCCTGGTCTACAAAGTGAATTGAATTCCAGGACAGCCAGGGCTGTTACACAGAGAAACCTTGTCTCAAAAAAACAAACAAACAAACAAACAAACAAATGATTTATTTTGATATGTATGTTAGTGTATCTGTGTGAGTGTATACCAAGTGGGTATGGGTACCCACAGAGGCCAGAAGAGGGCTTCAGATCCCCTGGAGCTGGAGTTACAGGTTATTCAAACTTGATTCCTCTGGAAAGCAGTTTTAGATCTTAACCTTTGAAATGTAGGTCTTGTTTATCTTTTCCTCCTTTAAGCCCATGGTTTCTACTGCACCAGGAAATCCCACTGGTCTACTCTGTACTTAAAATGTTAATGTAGGCCGGGCAGTGGTGGCGCACGCCTTTAATCCCAGCACTCGGGAGGCAGAGCCAGGCGGATCTCTGTGAGTTCGAGGCCAGCCTGGTCTCCAAAGCGAGTTCCAGGAAAGGCGCAAAGCTACACAGAGAAACCCTGTCTCGAAAAACCAAAAAAAAAAAAAAAAAAAAAAAATGTTAATGTAATACGTACTTATACCTCAGCTACAGAAGCACGTGTTAATGCACAAAGCCACCTTTTCCACTGTAACAACCCACAGCCGGAAGAGCAGAACTTTTTGAAATGAGCACTCAAGGACATTAACTTTAAAGGCAGGTCACAAGGTTAAAACAAAAATAGTGCCAGGCGGTGGTGGAAACAGACTGTGGGACTCTTAGCTCTGCAGTCCTCATTCTCCTACAAGCAGTGATAGTCAAGTACAGCAACTGTACCGTGTGTGTGTGTGCGTGTGTGTGCGCGCGCGCGCGCGTGTGTAATTTTCTAGGAACTTTGGTTATAAGACTTACAGTATATATGATTGTTGTTAAAGATTAAAGTCAGCTTAGAACTTCATGAAGAAAAGCAGTGTCTTCATGTTTACTCTGAGAGAAACTAGTTTTGTGTTTTGTTTTGTTTTACTTTCTTCTTATATTATTTATTTATTTTTATTCATTCATGCATTCATTCATTTATGGTTTTTCAAGAAAGGGGTTTCTCTGTGTAGTCCCGTCTATCCTGAAACTTTGTAGACTAAGCTAGCCTCAAACTCAGTGATCTGTCTTCCTCTGCCTCCTGAATGCTGAGATTAAAGGCGTGTGCCAAAACACCCACACACGATATACACTCTAAGTCTTAAAACTAAACATACACATAAATTTAAAAATAAATAATTCTTTAAAAACACTGAAACTAAAATTAACAGGTCTAGAGTGGCAGAGTAGACCTATAATCCAGCACTTGGGAGGCTGAGGCAGGATGTGAGTTCCATGCCAGTGTAGCTCCTACTTAGTGTGACTCATCTAAAACAAAGAAAAAAAAGAAAAAGAACTACCCCCCAAAAAAAAAATTGAGTCTTTCAATGCACACCTTTAAGTCCAGCACTCTTGAGGCAGAAGCAGGCAGATCTCTGTGAGTTTGAGGCTACGCAGGTGATCTACACCGTAAGTTCCAGGCCAGCCAGGGCTACAGAGTAAGATCCCATCTCAAAACAGAAAAAAAGAAGAATGTTGTTACGGGGTCAATCCCATGATCTAGATCTCTTTACCCCACCTAAAAGATGCTTGGGAGCCTTTGTAAGAAAGCTATAAACTTACTGTGAACTATGGATGTGACAGAATACACAATGTTCTTCCCAGAAGGTGGCCTTCTAAAACATTTTACATCAAGTGTGATAAGTAAATGCACTTAAAAACAAGAACATAAAGGAAATGCCAGCATGCCCACATTATCTCTGTGGGAAAGGCAAAGGCCTGGGTGGAACATTCTTGGCTCTTCTCACATGACCAAAGATGCTAAGACAACACTAGGAGTACTCCCTACGGTACTCGTATTTGCTCAAGCTAACTGTAAGCATCGCCTTTGCTTTGTTTGCTTTAATAATAAAAATGAGAAGTGCTTTGCTTGCACTACTCGAGCTCAAAAGACTGGGGTCCCAGGGTTGGGGATTTAGCTCAGTGGTAGAGTGCTTGCCTAGCAAGCGCAAGGCCCTGGGTTCGATCCTCAGCTCAAAAAAACAACAACAACAACAACAAAAGACTGGGATCCCCTAGCACCCCACTCGGATCTTTGGAATGTATCCTGGGAACCTCAGGTCTCAGCCTTGCTGGTCACAGGGTGGGTCAACAGATGCTGAGAACATTAAAGAAAATACACGAAGCCTACAATTTCTTCGGTTTTCCTCATGCTGGTTTGCACTCATTTACCTGTCATCCAGTGTCTAAACAATACATGCCCCACTGCGGCACGTCAACATTCTTCAATGAGGTGGGTCAAAGTGCGTATGCTTTGAATGTGAATGCTCCCAATGGAGATGTGTTTGAACACTTGGTCCCAGTTGGCAGTGCTTGTTAGGAAACGTTGTGGCACCTTCAGCAGGTAAAGACCTTCACTGAGGACAAAGCCTTGAGGTTTTATAACCCAGCCTCATTCTATGCACTCATGCCCTGGCTGTGAATGCAATGCTCCTGAAACAATGCCTTCCCTGGCATGATGGGATGCAGCCCTCGGCCAATGTCTTCGTCAGGGTTTCTATTGCAGTGATGAAACACCATGACCAAAACAAGTTGGGGAGGACAGGGTTTACTTGGCTTACACTTCCACATCACTGTTCCTCACTGAAGGAAGTCAGGACAGGAACTCAAACAGTCAGAAACCTGGAGGGAGGAGCTGATGCGGATACTGTGGAAGGGTGACACTTACTGGCTTGGTCAGCCTACTTTCTTATAGAACCCAGAACCACCAGCCCAGGTATAGCACCACCCACGATGGACTGGATCCTCCCCCATCAATTACTAATTAAGAAAATGACCTACAGCTGGAGCTTAAAGAGGCGTTTTCCAAATTGAGGTCTCCTCCCCTCTGATGACTCTAGCTTGTAGCAAACTGACATTAAACTAGCCAGGACACAGGATGAACTCTTTCTCCTTTAAACTGTCTCTTGCCGCCGGGCGGTGGTGGCACACGCCTTTAATCCCAGCACTCGGGAGGCAGAGGCAGGCGGATCTCTGTGAGTTCGAGGCCCGCCTGGTCTCCAAAGCGAGTTCCAGGAAAGGCGCAAAGCTACACAGAGAAACCCTGTCTCGAAAAAAACCAAAAAAAAAAAAAAAAAAACTGTCTCTTGCCAGGTTATTTGGTCACAGCAAGCAGAAAATTAACTAAAACAATTCCTACAATGCATATATGGTAAAATGAAGTCATTATATAAAGATAGTGAAATTAGATCAGTTAATTTCAGTTTAGTTGCTATAAAAACATGTGGAGTTTTAATTATGAAACAACCCGGTCATTTCCACATTCTCAAAGCAACCATGTTAAATAATCAATCAAGTCAGAAAAGGAATACTCGCACTACTGGGCACTTCTGAACCATTCTAAGTCAGTGTCCTCATAAAATGGTCCCTTTAGCATTCTTCTACGCGGCCTCAATCTTGGTCTCTTATGACAT